CCAAATCACCATCCTCTATTAGAATTGTGTCCTACTGACAGACACTTTTCATTTCCTAGGAGTGCCCAAACATGTGCACAGATGTGATTGGTTTAATTTCCCTTACACCCTTCTTTCCAACCTGTGAAAACTATTCTTAGTTAATAGGATGACCTTACAGATCTACCCTATATTTCTTTCATAGATAGTTTTGTAGTATTCTCACTTGCAAAAGGGAAAGAGAGATTTCTGATGCACTGCATAGAAAAATAATTGGCCCAAGATTGAAGAATTGAGTCTTAGACACAGTGACATGGCTTCATTGTCTCTATGTAGGTGTCAGTAGAGACAGAAAGGGGCCAGTTTTGGTGAGAGAAAGGACCTTGGGTCCTAGTAAAATTCAAGGATGTTTATATTATTCTGCACTACCATGTTTTCACAGTTGGCGGGATTACAACAAGAGGCAATTACAGACAAGGATTCTACTGGAACGTAGCCACTACTCACTAAGCTGCCCAAGACTTTTGGGAAAGTGAGTGTTCTTGAAACTTGTTAGAAATGTAATTTTGAGACTGAGCCAGGGGAAGACATATAAGGCAACCTACTGGGATAGAGCCTTGCCCCGAGACATCAGGTATGGGAATAGTTTTTGAGTGAACACAAAGGTGTAAATCAGAGCTGTTGGAGGATCAGTGTTGATCGAGAGTGATGGGATGCAGATGGTGTGGCCTAGAAAACAAGACTAAATTGAAAATGAGATGTTGAATGGGCCTGCTGTTTCAGGTTGGCCCTGGCATAAAACTGGGCTGTTTAAGCAGCAGTTTCTAATCATAGTCTCACCCTCCCTCCCTCCTACCCTCTTTTTTCTCTCTCCCTTTCTCCTCCCATCTTCTTCTCTTTCTGTCCCTCTCTCCCTCTTCTCACAAATACTGCCTAAGATCAGAATCCAATCAAATTATGAGTTGGAAAAAGCAACCATGCAGTTCTTGTCTGCAATTGTCTCTTGGTAAAATCTCTCTGACTGTGAAAACATAATAGCACAGGATAATATAAGCCGTTGCTTCAGGGTGAACCTTACGAAGCCCTGAGGTGTCTATATTTAATTATTATTCTAGCAGGATTTTGCTCCTGAGTAAAAATATCTATACTAAGCAGAACCAAGCATTTAGTACTTGAAGTACAGAGGGTTTGAGGCGTTTTAGAAAATGTGCTCTGAACTCTCAAGGAGGACTTAGCACACCAGTACCTTTACCGCACTGGCTGGAATAGTCACATGCTGCTAGACAGACACCCCAAGAACCACTGAGGAAGGTCTGTCTACCTGGGGCTCGGGAAGTGGCTTGGAGGTGAAGAGCACTGGCTGCTCTTCTGGAGGACCTGAGTTCAATTCCCAGCACATACATGGCAACTCACAACCATCTGTAACTCCAGTCCCAAGGGATCAAATGTCTCCTTCTGGCCTCTGAAGTCATGCAGGTGGTGCACAGAAATTATGCAGACAAAATATCCATACACATAAAACAAGCAAATTAGGTTTAAAAAGGAGTCTCTGTATGTAAAATAACTAGATTGTGGCGTAACCATTCCTATAGTAATAACAATAGGCACAAAGGGCTACAGCGGTTAACAGCACTGCTGTAATCCAATGCTTGGTTGCCACGCAGCCCAGCGGTGGCTAACTCTTAGAATGTTTAACGCTTGCTACGTTTTCAGGATGTACTAAGAACTTTAGGTGAGTGAGACAAATGAGCACACATACATTTGCTTAAATAAAGAAATAATATTCCAGCAGTTTTATCATGACAGTTGTTTTATAAGCCATTTACATTGGCTTTTTTACAGTCTCCTTTTTAATGAATGTAAAGTTTATCAATCTGCCTTCCAGCTGTAAGCTCCAGGTTGTTGAATTTCTCACCCTTCCATCAACACAAGACTCAGTGCTCAGGTATGGGAAAATGACAGAAATCTGAAAGCACCATTGTAGATGTAACCAATCGTCTTATTAAATAAGAAACACAGAACCAATGCAAAGAAGAAAGCCAAGAGATCAGAGCTAAGAGCCTTACTCGTCAAGAGAGACCTACTTCCTGTGTGTTTGTCTTTATATAGACTTTCTGTTCTGCCTTCTCATTGGTTGTAAACCCAACCACATGACCGCCTCGTCACTGCCTGTTTGTACAGACCTCCAGATCTTCTGTGATTGGTATTGAGATTAAAGGCGTGTGTCTCCAATGCTGGCTGTATTCTTGACCACACAGAGATCTAACTAGCTCTGCCTACCAAGTGCTGGGATTAAAGGCATGCGCCATGAACGCCCAGCTCTGCTATGGCTTGCTCTTAGCTCTGACCCCCCAGGCAACTTTATTTATTAACATACAAATAAAATCACATTTCAGTACAAATAAAATATTACCATACACCATGCTGAGTCACAACATGAACAATTCATTTTTGTCCAGGTCTGAGTGACTACTGGTAGAGACTGGTGCTTCAAAAACAACTGTGTACTGAACAAACTTAGCTGCTCTCAATATCAAACGACAACCCATCAGCCACTACCATGTGTAGGCATTCCAGGAAGCCCAACTTGAAGTGGGCAGATGTGTACTGAGTTCTGGAAATGTTAGTGTCAAATCATACAGAATGTTCATTTCTGCTATGGAAATCGTAGAAGCGCAGAACTACTGTTTTTAATGTCTCTGAGGACTTGAAAGTGTTCTTGGATTGCTTATTGCTCTTTGTAAAGCTCACTCCTACTTTCAAAGGCTTGGTAGCTTGCTCATATTAAAAAGAGGACAATGTATCTTTATTCCACTGAGTTTTCTTTTTTCTGAAGTTATGTGGCTTAATAAGAGAAAGGAGAGTGGTAGAACTGAAACTTTGAGTATTCTTTTAAACTTGTGGGACTTAAACTTCCTTATTTGTCAAATGAGGATGGCGGTGATGGTCACCATGTTTCCTTCTGGGAAAACAAAGTCCACACTGAGTGCTGAACATTTGAAACATAGTAGTTCAGGGCTCATAGAAATGATCACATGCAGCCAGGATCGTGTTCTTGTTTAACAAAATGAAAGAACAAAGAAACTACACAGTGTGCCCAAGGCCACAAGGTTAGATGGGGTAGAACCTGAATATGTGAGATTCTTCTGGTTCTAAATGCATGCATCTCTCTGCCCACCCATATGTTTATGAATGGTCGTGCTTATTTGTGAGCCAGAATTTCATTAGGATAGGAAACTGAGAAGCCAGTTGAAGGACAGAGGGAGAAATTAGCATGCTCAAAGCTTGCCCTGGACATTGACAGGTTACCTGTGAGATGAATTCATACATATGGACAACTAGAAACAGGAGAGACACTGTTGACAAATTGTTGCTGAGTTCTTCAAATTGTGTAAAATAGGTTGGTATTTTATTCTGTCTGTTATGCTATAGAATGTGCTGTAATTCTTACACATGGTGTGAATGTCTGTAATATGGGTTAATAAAGGTTTCTTTAATGCTGCTGTTCGGCACACAGACAGCTGCCTCTGGGTGCCTTTGTTTCTGTCCTGCCTTTGTACATATTGCTGTTCTTTGTTGCTGCTTTTTTTTTTCTAATAAGAGATATTTGGGGGGTTTCACCACACAGCTGCCAAGTCTGGAGTTGAGGTCTTTATCCTGAACTTAAGAGTTGTATCTTTGATCCGCATGACCAACTTCTGATGCAGATTCTGTTGTTTTCTATATTTCACTGCTAAAGAACCCGAGATCAGAGGAGCTGAGAATCTTCCCCACTGCCTGCTTCAAATAAGAGGTTCAGTCATAGTCAAGCCCTATAACTGGTTACAAAGCTGATACTGGATGGGCTGGTTCTGGAAGATCATCCATCTGCCTTCCACGGAAGTAACTAACTCTAAGTTTGTGAGGCCACTCACTTTTCTAGAGGACTTGCTTGGATGACACACCCTGTGCTTGCTGGTGAGATTCTCATTTGCTATATTGAACCTTTGTTCCCACATACATTCTTCCATGCCTCATCTAAGGAGCTCACACACAGCTACTGCCTTTGATCCAGAAACGGAAAAGGAGAAGGCCAGGCACAGGATTTAGGTAGTGCCTTTGTGGCTTTTGAGTCAGCTGCTGTGGTTTCATGGGCTACTTTTCTGGACAATGATAAAGGGTGGATGATAACTCTGCTGCCTCTCTTGCCTGCTCCAGTTTGAACCCATTTTTAATTGCTGAAGTGTATGTATGGAGATATGTACAAACTACATTTCTGCCACTTGTACCACAAAACGTGATTCTTAGCTCTGATTCTTTTCCACAAAGAAAATATTTTAACAATTAGACTTGAATTCTTGTACTTTCTTCAACACACACACACACACATACACACACACACACACACACACACACACACACACACACACACCAACCATTTCAATTCTAGCTTATTCAGAATTATACTAAGTACACAGTTCTTCCACTGGCTTTCCATTTCCACATATTTTGGCCCATATTCTATTTCAGTTTGGCCTCATTTTTCAACAGTCTGTTTTCCCTGACACTGTCCTCACATGTGAAGGTGTGTGTAGTGTGAGCACATGGTGGAGGCCTGAATCAGTCACACTTCAAGTCAACCTCTCCTATGTCCACTTTGTCACAGAACCTTCATGTGCAGAGAAACTACTTCTAAAAGCTGTGCTTGTTTTCAGTCTGTTAGCACCTTGGGGGCAATGCTTCCCGGACAACATGATTCTTAAAATCAGACTCCTATGTTCAGACATCAATTCTAAGAAAATTACTTCAAAGCCCCAGTTCAGTGATTTTTACTTTAACGTTTACATTATTTTACTGTCTGGACTGATCCCTTATCTCTTGTTCATACTGATCAAGTCAGCATTTGGAATGTAAAGTTGACACTCTTGGTACCAATTTCTCCTGTATGCATTGGACTTAGTAGTTGAATTAAAAGCAGGCTATCCCCTGGCTTCTCATTTGTCATCCACAGAACCTGTGACTTACCCCCAAATACATTCCAGTAAGGGCAAAACCAAGCATTTTATTTTTCCATTTTATTTCATTGTGGTAAAACATTCAACATGAGATCTAGACTCTTAATGACTTTTTATGCTAACAATATTATTGTTAACTATTTGTACAGTTTGTGCAGCAAATCTCTAGAGTTGAATCTGTCTTGCTCAACTGAAAACTTAGCGATGGTTGAGAATCCCCCTAATGTTCCATTCTACAGTCCCGAGCACCCCTCTATTCTGCTCTTGAAAATCTCTCTTCTTTTTTGGGGGGTGGTGGTGGTTTTTTTTCACTTAACATAATTCCCACAAAGTTCATTCATGTTGCTGTACATTGAAGAATTTACTTGTTCTTCTGAATTTTAATCCTATTCCATCATACACACTTGCTACACCTTGGTTTCTCCAGCCATCTGTTCATCGACACTCGGGTTGTCTCAATGGCTCAGCTGCTTCAGTATCCTAAACAAGCAGGAGACTATTACCATCTTTTCTTTCTTTTTGTAATTTTAAAACTACATTTCTTCATTGGGTGTGGGGCACAAGTGTGCCAAGTATGCATGAGGAAGCCAGAGGACAACTTGCCGGAGTTAGTTTTCTCCTTCTACCATGCAGGTCCCAGTGATCCAACTCAGGTCACCAAGCTTGAGAGGAGTCTCCCTTCCCCCTAACATCCTTTCAAAGCCCTGATTTGAATCAATAGGATAAAAACACCAAAGTAGGATTGGTGATTTACATAGTACTTTAAAGTATTTTAATAACTTGCATGGTTTTTCACACTGGCTAAATTGTTTTACATTTTCATCAAGTATGCTAGGATTCCAGTTTCTCCACTTCCTCACAAACATGTACACTCACCTTTTATTTTCACAATAGCCATGTGAGGTGGGGCCGACTTGCATCTCCCTGATGACTAGTGATGCAAGCATGCTTTCAGGTTTCTTTGACTATTTCCATGACGTCCAGAGAGAAAGGTTTATCCAAGTCCATAGCCCATCATTAATCTTGTCCTTGGTTTTTGCCTGCTGTGTTGGTGGAGTTCTGAGTGTATCTTAGAGTCTGCATCTTCATGGGTTCTTGCTCTGTAATAGGAACCCTGGAGGTCACTTTTTGATTTCTGATAGCATCCTTTGCTGTAGAAAGTGTGGCTCCCCTTTCCCGTGATCTTAGTGTTTACATCTTCCTGTGTTTCCCATGCTGTGATGTTCTGCTGATACTCCCATAAGGCAACTCTGCAGCTGATGCTCCCATAGGGCAAATCTACAAGCATTTGAGCCATATTCAGACAACCTGAAGAGTTTGAACATCTTCTGTTAGGGTTGACGAGTGAAGGAAGAAAAGAGATTTTCCTTTGCACCCTTTTTTGGCAAATAATTCTGTTATCAGTGAAAATGTCTTTATCTTCAAATCACCGTGAAGCTCTAACCCTCTGTGTACTGCTTTCTAGAAAGGGAAAGAGAGAGACTTTTTTTTTAACAATGAAGATTTGCTTTGTGACTGGTTCATCTTCAATTTCTGTAAATGCTCTCTGAGGCTTTTTGAGAATGGGTAGCCTCAGGCTACTGAATTTCCGTAGATAGAATGCCTATACATACAGTTGGCAAATTATGTATTTCAAACATTGCATACGCCTTTTTAAATTTTTTGTTCTGTTTAGTTCAATAAGTTCTGAGAGTAGTATATTAAAATTCTCAATGGTGGTAGATTTATCAAATACACAATTACTCCATTAATTTGGCTTTACATTTAGTTCTATATTATAAATATATATTTACATTATAAAGTTGTGTTTCTATTACTTATTTTTTGTAATTTTTCACTTTAGTATATCTTTGTGAACTTAGCCTTTTATAGTATTTTTATTATTTTATGTATCAATATTCTGCCTACATGTATGTCCATGCACTCACCCCGTGTGTTGCCTGGTACCCACTGGGGCCAGAGAAGAGGATGAAATTCACTGGAACTGTAAGTACAGATGTTAGTCAGCTGCCATGTGGGTGCTGGGAATCGAACCAGGTTTCTCTGGGCAAACAGCCAGTGCTCTTACCCACTGAGCTATCTCTATAGTCCCCAAGGCTTTTCAAAATTATGTGTGGGGGGGGTTATGTGACTAACATGTGGTAAGTGGAGAACAGCTTTATGTAGTCAGTTCTGCCTTTATGTACCTTCATCTCACAAACACTTCTCTCCCTGTTTTCATAACATATATATTCCACCACCCTTTTGAGTTCCTCATTTATTGTTAGATTTACAAGGAAAGAAAAAGATAGGACAGAGGGTGTAGAGTATCTTAAGAGACTGATCTCCTCTAGGCACACTTGTGAGAGCATTTACAGAGAGCTTGAACTGTTGTGGGAATGCCTACCTATCCTGAATGTGGGCGGCATCATTCATAGGCTGGATATCCTGAATGTGGGAGACATCATTCATAGGCTGTGTCAAGGTCTGAATAAAAAGAAGGATGTAAGCTGAGCAGCATTATTTCTCTCTCTCTCTCTCCTTCTTGGCTTGAATGCAATGTGACCCTCCTTTTGTTACACACACACACACACACACACACACACACACACACACTATAAATACAATAAAGCATTATTTTTGTTTTCTTGAGTCTAGCTTATTCTGCTTAATAAATGATGGCTAGTTCCATCTATTTTTCCTGGGAATGTCATAACTTCATTCTTTTTTCCATGGTGTGTATGAACTGCATTTTCTTTACCCATTTGTCTGTTGGTGGACACACTGATAGGTTCCATACTGTGACTGCTGGGAATAGGGAGGAAATGAACCAACGCAGTGATTTCTATCATCATTCTGAATTCTGATAAGAAGGATAAAGGGCTGAACGAATTTCCAGGCTGGGGATGAGAGACAAATCTTCCAGGCAGAATTTCAAATAATTTATGTGGATCCTTTTCCTTTAAAAGACGGAGACATTTTCCTACTCCCTTCTTTCATTTCCATCAACTCCAATCTAATACTTTTTATAATGGTTTTTCTCCTGTGAGCTGTTCTAAAAATATATAAAGTTTAAAAGTAAACTTTAGAAAATACGTGTTTCCCGTGTCCTTAGGGAAAAAAAATCATAAATATCACCTAACATTCTAAGACTAAAAATACACATTTTCTAGTGAATTCACCAGAAAGTTTTATATATGAATGCGCTAAGCATCTAGAAAAATGTTGTGTATCACATGAGGTTACTGACTTTAGAAAGACTAATACAGATACTTGAGCCTTCAGTTATAGAAAGATTTGTCATATCATTAGCTTTAGTTGTCAATTAGGAACACCTGTGAAGAGGGACCCTCAACTAATGAATTGCCTCCCTCAGATTTGCCTATGGGCAAGTCAGTAAGGCACCTTCTTAACTGCTAATTGATGTAGGGGGGCTTAGCCCACTCCAGGGGGAGGGTGTGCCATCCTTAGACAGGTGGGCCTGGGCTGTACAGGCAGGGTTGTTGAGCAAGCCAGAGGAGAAAACTAGTAAACAGATTTCCTCCATGTCCTTGCCTCAGTTCCTGCCCCCAGGTTCCTACCTTGAGTGCTGGCCTTGGCTGACAGACTGTAACTTGTAATCAGAAATAAACCCTTTCCACTCAAATTGCTTTTGCTTATGATGTTTATAACAGCAACTAAAAGCAAACTAGAAGACTTATTTCCTCAAAGTAAACATCAGCTGAGTAGCCTCCAAGAACTGAGCCCCGTGCCAGCTGTTGAGTATCTAATAGGGAAAACTGGGCATAGCCACTCCCTTCACCAATAGTAGAATCAATTGAATACAAAACTACTTTCTGTTGATATCCAAGAGGAATCAAGTACCTGATGAGGTGACCCAGCAATAGCAATGCAGAGCAGAGAATTTTCTCATGGTGAGGAAAGGAGGAGGCACCCAAGTCTTTAGAAGAAGTTTCAATCATTGATTAAAAATAAATAAATAAATAAATAAATAAATAAATAAATAAATAAATAAATAAATAAATAAATAATTTAAAAAATTATGCTAACATTAGAAGAGAGCAGAAGGTCTCAGGGCACAGTCCTGTTTTTCATAGGCCCACCATCTTTGAGGCTCTGACACCCTAACTTCAGGAGACTCTTTCCCTCCTTGGATTCTTGCATCAGCCAACATACAGCAACAGCACAACCTGGGTCACGTAAATAGAGAAGTCACGTACAGAGAGGACACAGCCACAAGTGCTGGAGGTCAGAACCATGCACTCCAGGTATAGCTGTCTTAGTAAGACATGAGAAGGAGCCAGCCTTTGAGAAACATTTCAGAAGGAAGCAGGTGAAGTCAGTGTCTATGCCAGCCGAGTTCTTTATATGTGAGACATGCATTTTCACCAATAAATCAAAAGCTAAATTAGTACAGGCTTACAGTCAGATAGCCTGAAGTTCCACAATGGATGCCTCTGCCCACTAGCAATGACAGTGTCACCTCGAGTGAATTGCTTTATTTAGAAAATCAAGGCTCCAAAAAGGTTAAGACAAATTGCAGAGTTCACACACCAAAGCTGAACTTTGAATTTAAGGGGGACTCTAATCCCAGTTTCTGTCAAGCTTCCCAAACCTCCTTTCTGAGCAGAGCTCCAAGGGACTGAGCTGTGCCATTCCTCACAATCAGGGATTCTTCCTTGTTACCATGGGGGAAATCGTGAGAGTGGGCATAGAGGGCTGCATCTTGGTGAAATAAAATGTTATCCCATTACCTCACTATAAGGGACTCTGTCAGTTTGCAGTGAGAACCACCCTTAAGTCACAACTGCCTTACACTTCTTAAAAGAAGAAGAAAAGTAAGAGTCAGCTTCCAAGGATATTAGGTTATTTTCTAATCATCACACTCTCTTGCTTTGGATTTTCCATTATTTTACTGTCCTGGGCACATTAGAAACTGGCTCTTAGTTGACTCTACTGGCCCATACAACAATATTGCAGATAACTAAAACGTACCCTTGTGCTGATTAATAAAAGTATATTTTAGGTTCTTGAACCATAATCTTCACAGAGAAAGGAATAGGAAGATTAAAAAAAAACTTTCTAGAGAAATGGAAAAAAATGTTTGTTGAAAATATTCTGTGTAAAGTGAGATATACAAAATGAAACAATAAAGAATAGTGTATTCCTGTAATGATTCATAGTTTCAAGGGACCATTTACTTTCATATGTGAAAAAAATGTACGAGTTTCTGGACTAGACATCACCTTGATTTCTCAAACCATGACTAGGAGTTCATGGCCAATATTCCTTTTTAGTTAATTAAGGATCAGAAGTGTCTGTGAACATAGACACACAGAGCCTCCCTCCCAGAAACACATGCAATCACACATAGAAACTCTCTCACACACAAGTACAACACACATGCATCCCCACGCATATTCACATACAGACACACTGACATGCATGCACACACACACACACATATACTCACACACAGATACACATGCACACAAACATGCATCCCCACATATACTCACACACAGACACATAGACACACACACACACACACACACACACACACACACACACACACACACGTGTTCAGATACTATAGAGAAGTTTGGGATCAGTACACTTACCCAAATTAAGGGCCCTGTGTTCTCTCTCATGTGTTGTTGATTGCTTGGAAAGCCAATATTTCCAGTCCATTTACTCCAAATTCATTCCACTCCAAGGTGTTATTTTGCATGGCCAGCACTCTTGTGCTACCCCTGGCACATCTGTTGATTTCTCTGTAATTAAAAGCTTTCTGGGAAGGCAGAAATCTGGCCTTTACACCATTTTCTCATTAGCTGGGTTTTTCGTTCCCATTGGTTCACTGTTCAGGCTTGTCACAGCAAAGCTTTCATTAGAGTCTTTTGGCTGCAGTGTTGTTTTAACAGAGCAAAGGGAATTTGGAAACGCAAACAAATACCTTTTTATCATTTTCCATGGATCAAAAGGAGATGTGACTATCAACACAGTTTAAACTGCTCAGATATGTGGTCTTCCCATTTAGGAGACGTATCATTTAAGAAATTCCCATGAGTGTTAAAATTTAATGGAATCACTGAATTTAATTACTAGGTATAGATTCTAAGATGTCAGAATCTCAAGAAGGCAGAGGCCCTTGCAGTGTTGATGACTTCCATCCATCAGTAAGAGCGTCAGCCTTGGTGGTAGGACTAAAGCTAAAACCAAAATTGCCATTTGGAAGAACCCTGCAATCCTATGTCCTTACATTTTAACCCCAGCCATCTCCTTACTGGACCATTTGAATGCTCATAATGCCAGCTTATGAGCATGACTAGGAAAGACAAATTCACTAATCCACATCCAACAGCTCCTCTTTTCTGGAGGCCCAATGATTGCTAAACCAGACTGGAGCAAGGAAACTAGCTGTATCCTTCACAATTCTGCTCTGGGCTGACCCTTAGCAAGAACATATTTAGGGAACCCTCGTACCAGGCTTCGGCACATAAATACATCACAGACACAGGCCATAAATAAACTCAAGGTTGCTAACACCAGTGCAGACAGCAAGATCAAAAGAAGAAATTCCATTAAAATGAAACGTGATTTCAGATAAAAGACATCCTCAGCCTCCAAAGGCTTTCCTTTGTGTTGATGTTGCCCCTCAAGCTTCTTTTTGCATTGGCTTTGCTTAATTATAAACCAGGATGGAGTCTGGGAAACACAGATGTAGCAGAGTCTGGGAAGTATAAGTACTTTAAATCTGTACAAATTCGATGACTTCCCTTGACTACATCACAAAATAATCATGGAGAAATGTCATCACTTGATAAAAGAAGAAAAAGTGTGTGCTAACAAAACTGCTCATGCACCAGGAGCCGGCAAATGCTGCCCTTTAACTTGTTATCCAAGCATTACATCTACCACTGAGAATGCCTCTTTGCAACAGAGTGTAAATACCACTCTTTTGGTTCTGCTTAATATAAGTCACACTTCTGTGATTAGTCTCTTTAACACATGCCTCTTCTGGGATGCTTATGCAATGCTCCATTGTTTCAGTCTTAATGCATTCAAAATCTTCTGTGACCATCCACATTTGTAAGACAGATAAGACCAGTGCTGTTGAAACTGCCTGTAAATCTGCAGTGTTGTGAAACACATGGGTTCACATGATGAAAGAAACAAGATGACTCCTTAATTTAAAAGCAGAATGGAAACAATCTCACCCCTCCACACATAGTAATTTCTTGAAAGTCGTAAAACCATAGATATTGAATTTTCTAGACAGGTTCTTTTTCTCCCAAGTATTTGGTCACAGTGATGAAAAAATTGTAAGAGAATTACATAGCACATTATTCTATGAACAGACCCATCAAGCTCAGATACACCTGCTAATTACAAACATTTTGTGATAGGTGATGTCATTCTGTTTGCTGTGAAAATGTGTTGCTCTGATTGGTTGATAAATAAGGCTGTTTGGCCAATGGTGAGGCAGAATAAGGTTAGGCGGGACATTCTAAAGAGAGAGAGAGGAAGGAGGAAGACAGAGCAGGGGAGACACTGCCAGCTGCAGCCATGAGAAGCAAGATGTAAAGATACTGATAAGCCACAAGCCTCATGGCAAAGTATAGATTTATAGAAATGGGTTAATTTAAAATATAAGAACTAGATAACAAGAAGCCTGTCACGGCCATAGTTTAAAAATAATATTAGCCTGTGTGTGTTTATTTGGGATGGAGCAGCTACGGGACTGTGGACCAGGTGGGACACAGGAAAACTTTCAGCTACAATTGTGGTTCTTTAGCTATAAATCTTCTGGGCAGGCATCGTGATAACAATTTAAGCACAAGCAGAGGATGAGAAACCTGCTGCTTATTTCCATCCACTGGGCAGTATCATCTACCCTCTGTAAAAGCTGCAGTGGTAGAGCTTGGAAAACTGTCAGTTGATATACTCTATTGTCTCCACATATGATTCCCCATCACAGGTGGACTGTGAGCTCTAATAGGGCAATACCCTATTTCCTGCTGAATATCTGGGTTCAGGAGGAGGAACTGGGGAGGTGACTCAGAGAGTGAAGACCTGAAGTCTGATGTCCAGTACCCACACAAAAAGTAGTTGGGGGCAACTGGGCAGGGCATGGGGGACATGAGGAAGGACAGGAACAGGTGGGTCCTGGGGCTTGCCGATCAGCCACTATAGCTGAAACAGTGAGATCCAGGTTCAGTGAGACTGTTTAAAAGGAACAAGATGGACAGTTGTAACATGAATCTTAAAATGTTTTATAATAAAAAACCCAGGTATTTTCAAATATTTCATCTACCCATTGCTAATATTCTAGAACTCTCCTTTCTCTACCCAAGAAAGGAAAGCAATCTCTTAATTGAGCTCTGCAAAAAAAAAAAAAAAATGCCCTTTGAAACTTCTTCCTTTGACAATTCTGATTTAATTTTGTTTGTGCCTAAGAATTAGAAATATAGGGTTGCGGACATGGCTCAGTGGGCCAAGTCCTTGCTGCACAAGCTTGAGGACCTGAGTTTGATACTCGGCACTTACATAAGAGCTTAATATGGAAGTGTGCACCTACATCTTGGGGATTAAGGCAGAGACAGGCAGATCCTGAGGACTTGATGTCCAGCCAATCTAGGCAAAATGGAAAGTTTTAGGTTCAGTGAGAGACCCTGTCTCCAAGAAAAAAAAATGGTAGAAAAAGCAATTTAGGAAGACAACAGACATTAACCTCCACTTCTAAATAAGCCTGCCCAGGCAAAGGCATGTGCACACATACACATAAAGCACATACACACAACACACACACACACACACACACACACACAGGATAGGACATCAAAATATTAAGCAGGTTATATTTATTTCAATCACTGATCTGAATTTGCTTTTAGAATATGAACTTCAACCAAAACTAAAACCAGCCAAAATTATCACTAAATTAATCCCTGCTGAAACCACCAAGTAACAAGGGTGAAGCTGCGAACAGTCTGTGCAGACAGCAAGTGTGTTTGTTGGCTGGCCCCTGCCTTGCTAATGCTTTACAATCAAATGCACATCCTGATCTCGACAGAAACTTGCTTGAAAGATGGAAACAAATTAAACTTTACACCATAACAGTGGAGCCTCATTTAAAGTCTAATGATCCCAAATTCCAGCATAATGATCTCACTGTTGCCATGCTAGTCAAGCGGCATCCCCTGAAATGATTGCACTCATAGCACTTCAAGAGGAAGATCCTTGGAGAGATTTTTTTTAAAAAATGATATCATTAGTAGCCAGAGATAGGCCTTAATACATGAGAAAAACAAACAAACAAAAAACAGGAGGAACTGGGGAGGTGACTCAGAGAGAGAAGACCTGAAGTCTGATGTCCAGTACCTACATAAAATAATTAGTTGGGGGCAGTGGTGTGTGGCTGTCACACCAGCACTGGGGAGGGTGTGGGGGTCATGAGGAAGGGCAGGAACAAGTGGGTCCTGGGGCTTGCTGATCAGCCAGTATAGCTGAAACAGTGAGATCCAGGTTCAGTGAGACTCTGTTTAAAAGGAACAAGGTGGACAGTTGTAACACGAACCTTATAACAAAAACCCAGAGCCAGATATTGGGGTGAAAGCTGAAAGATCAGAGAAGCAGAATAGTCAGCCACTAGCTTACCTCTTTGAAATCCTCAGCCGCAAGAGATGGAGTTCCTGTTTCCTCATGCTTTACATACCTTTCTCTGCCCTTCCGTCACTTCCTGGGATGAAAGGTGTGTGTGCTTCCAAGTACTAGGATTAAAGGTGTATGCCACCACTGCCTGGCTCTGTTTCCAGTGTGGCCTTGAACTCACAGAGATCTGGATGGATCTCTGCCTCCCGAGTGATAGGATTAAGGGTGTGTGCCATCACTCTCTGACCTCTGTGTCTAATTTAGTGGCTGGCTCTGTCTTCTGATCCCCAGGTAAGCTTTATTGGGGTGCACAATATGTTACCACAAACCGTGATAAAGGGAAGACTTCCGATGTGGCCTCTGTCCTCCAAACTCTCACACACAGGCACACACACACACAGACACACACACACACACACAGACACACACACACACACACACACACACACACGCACGCACGCACGCACGCACGCACGCTCATTAAAAACAAACAAATAGAAACCCATGGGGGCATTCAGAAAATACATTACTTAAAAATAACTGTGCTCTTCATGAACTGGTACATGGACCAACTAATCTGGGGTTAGCAAAACGCTTCAGTGTGCTATCCACAGGCACATTCTTAAGTGGAACATGCTGTTGAAACATCACTGGCTATGTATCTATCTCAAAGAGGACTGCTAAGGTCATGTCCAGGATACACTTGCCAACAGCACAATCCTGGCAAAACTGTAAAGAGGGGAATGGAAACCATCAAATTGCAAAGTCCTTTTAGACACTTCCAACCCTTGCTGCCCTAAAATTGGACAATAAATATATTTTGCCATTGTTTACTCAGGATTAAATGAGACATTTTCTTGCTAAGAAAAAGGGCTCTTGTGGTAGTGGAAAAAATGTTTGATTGTTGTTGTCTTGTTTATTTTGTCCCTGGTATGGGGAAATTGAACACATACCTCACTATGGCAGGACACAAATTTCACAGCAACTCTTACTGGTAAATTTTCAAAGCCCCTTTCAAAGGCTTTTACTAACAAAAATTTTATCTGCCATCTTCATTAAAAGTGAAAAAAATTGATGAAACTTTAAGACTGGAATGAGTAATGCTTCCAGTCCCCGGAAGCTGGTTATGTCATGATTTTAACAATATAATCACCTGGACTCATCAGCTTCCATCTTATAAATAGTGGGTAACTCCAAGTACTTAAGGATTTCACCTTCAATTCCCCATGCAAGTTGATAGGATCAAGCACTGTAATGAATTCAAGCACATATGCAGTCTTAGAACATATGAACATTCTCATCACCACATCCTACGGTGCAGACACCAAGACTCAGTCCAAAGATCTCAGCTGCTGGAGGAACACTGCCCTCCAGCCTTGATAGAGAGCAGCAGGTACTGCTGATGTTAGCACCATGGCAAGCTCTAGCCTCTGATGCCTAGACCCTGTTCAACATCGTCAGAAGACCTTAAGCAAGCAACGATTCTTAAGACTTTTCCCAAAAGCCAGTATTCAAAACAGACTTGCCAACCACAGTTCTTTAATTCCAGCTAATAACAAAGTGGATCAAAGATGATACCATGTGTTTATTTTTCTGGAACCAATGTTTTCCTATTTATCTTTCTTTATTGCTAATTTTATTTGCTCTTGTATTCTTAATGGCCTGTATAACTTTCCTCCCAAATATTCATCAGTATTTTTTTATGCACACTATAATTTTGAAAGGTAAAAATTCTTTTCTCTACTGCCAAAAGAAAGAAAATCTAACAAGTTATTGGACTTGGTGCCCAAGCGGATCCTGCAAGTAAGGCTCAACAGCTATCCAGCTAAGCCATGAGAAGACACTTCACTCAGATACCCTTTTCAAGCACATGAAATTTATTCTCATCATAAAGTCTATCTTCAGCTTTTTTTTTCTTTCCAAAACTAACCAGTAAGCACGTTGAAATGCATATGGACATGTCAGTGGCCTTGACTTTGAGGTTGTCTTAATCCATTTTATGTTCCATAATAGAATCCCACAGAGTGGGTAACTCACAAACATGAGGATTTTTTTCCCCTCAAAGCCCTGGAAGCAAAGTGACATCTGGTGCCTAATAAAGGCTTACTTGCTGCATGCTGGCAGGAGCAGGATGGACAAGAGAGAGCTCGTTGGAAGCCGGGCAAGCCACACAGCCTTACCTACAAGGGGGATGTCCTCCTTTATCTTTGAAGCCCCCCTTCATGCTATCTGATTAGCAGCCCTCAAAACTTGAGTAGATGTGTTCAAGTCATAGCCAGAGTTAAAAATAGACATAAGGCTATCTTTTCCCGTAGCAGAAATCATTCTGTTAATGTTTTTATTAATATTCTGTAGAGTGCTTTGTAGAACTTACTTAATTATATTCAAGAGATCAGCAAGCTAGTGTAAGAGACCAATAAACAACTCACTCTAATTATGCTAATTTGCGCATTATTATGATACCAATTCTTGTACGTGTGTGTATGCATGTTTATATGTACAGATGCAAATTGGTGCAAATACATATGTGTGTGTATATGTCCTTGGAGGCCCAAAGACAAGTTCATGTGTCATTCTCATTCATCAAATGCTGACAACTTTTTTTTTTGAGCTGGGCTTGCCATGAACCAGAACTTACAGAGTGGATGAGGCTGGCTGGGTGGAAAGCCCTATGGGTCTGCCTATCTTGCCTATCTCTGCCTCCCCAACACTGGAATAAGTGCATGTCATCACACTTAGCTCTTCTTTTCTTGTTTACATGGCTTCGGAAAATCAAACTCAAGCACTTTATAAACTGTGCTGTCTCTCCTATCCAAACTACTATTTTTTTTTTCTGGATATTCTGTGAAAGTGCTACACAAAGGACGCTACCTTTCCCTTTTTGGCTTATAGTTATCTTCATGTTATTAATAAGGAACAACTAAAGTTAAAATGTGGAGTCTGCTGTCTAGACATCAAAATAAAAGTTTTTATTTTTTTTTATTTGAAAATTCTGGCCATATTAGGGAGTATGTTTAGAGAGTACTCTAGTATACACATTTGCACTTCTGAAAAATCAGTCTATTAAATAATATTTATACTTCAGATGCATGATTCACATTAACTTTGTCATACTTTTAAATCATATTTCATTTACTTTGAAAATACTAGGCATAACACAGTAAACTTACTGACCACTAATGGATTATAACTTAACTTGTAAATAGTATGTTACCAGACTAGTGATAATTTACATGACATTTTAACCATGTATGTTCACTTGTACAATAATTTTATGTTTTGGAAAAAAATGATTTTTTGAAGAAGGTTTAGGGATAGCTACTGCAAATAATCCCATCTGAGCACTGCAATTACTTCCTCTGAAATTCAATCAACAAGTTAATCCCAGATGTTCAAGTACTGAAGCAAAAACACAAGAAATATGAAGATTTAAAGGAATTTGACTCCTCTGAAAATGACTAAATCCACAGTAAAGGACTCCAAAGAATGGTAATTGAATGAAATACCTGACAGGAAATTTAAAAGATTGATTATAAAATGTTCAATGACAATTTTAAAAAGGACACAGAAGTTATAAATGAATTCAATGATCTGAGGGAAATAAGTCAATAAAAGATCTGAATAAATTTGAATTCAATAAAGAGATATAAATGCATTTAAAAACTCAAATGAAAGTTTGGAAACAAAAAGCTGAACTAGACAAATGAAAACCCAGTGGAATGTCTCTGGTAGAAAGGATCAGTAGGAGACAGACTATTGGACCTGATGACAACCTAAAGTATCAGAAGTTTCAGACAATGACAAGTACTAAGAACGTATGAACAGAACGTATGAAGTTTGTGGGACACACAAAACTATCAAATCTTTCCACTGTGGTCATAAAAAGAGAAGCTAAAGGCACAAAATCTATATTCAAGAAATTCACAGAAAATAGTCCCAAAACTAGAGAAAGAGATGACTGTTGGATGCCAAGCATTTAGAACATCAAACATTCAAGACAGAAAAGAAAAGAAAAAAAAAACCTCCATATTTCATACTGTGGTTAAAAAAAAAAGGGAGTAAAATTGAAGTTGTAAGAGAGAAACACGAAGTCTCATACAATGACAAACCTATCAGAAAAACGGGTTTCTTAAGGCAAGCTCTCAAGTCCAAGAGGTGAGATTATGCATTTCAATCCCTGGAAGGAAATTAGTTGTCAACTTAGATTACTATGTACAGCAAAACTGTTCTTCATAATTGACCTGAGAAATGATAAGTACAAGCTAAAGAAATTCATTCCCACTAAGCAGGCATTGTAGAAGATGCTTAAATGACCCTAAACACTGAGAAAAAGATAAACACACCCTGGGCTCAGGAAAGAATGAACCTCAATATAAATATAAATATGCAGTGAGAATTGGGGAAGTGCTGAATAGTACAAAACTAAAGAAATAAATAGAATTAATAATACCCATTCAATGATAACTATAATTGTTAATGTCCTGATAGTCTAATATCAAACAGTGACATTAAAGCAATAATAAAGTCTTCTAATCAATCAAACAAGAAAGATCAGATCTTGAAGAATTCACTGCTGAATTCTGCCTACCTTAAAAGAATAACAAATACCAATATTTCCCAAACAATTATCTAAAACAGAAAAGGAAAGAAAGCTACTGTCATAGTCATAGTTAGCTTCAGCTGTCAACTAGACACAGTCTAGAGTCATCTGAGTGAGTCTCTGTTAATGGATTGTCCAGGTCAGATTGTCTTGTGACCATGTCTGTGAAGGACTGACTTGATAGGTGATAATATGGGAGGGCCCAGTCTACTGTAGGCAACACCATCCCTAGACAGGTGGGCCTGGTCTACATGAGAATGCTAGCTGAGTGAGCAAGTGAACAAGCCAGTAAGTAGCATTGCTTCAAGGTTTCTGTTTCCAGCTTTCTGTCTTGAGTTCCTGCCCTGACTTCTCTCAGTAAAGGACTGTTACCTGGAGGAGGTGTAAAGTAAAATTATGCCCCAAACTTGCTGTTGGTCAGTGTTCTATCACAGCAACAGAGAACCAAGAATGATAGCTACAAAACTCTTTTTATGAAGGAAGTATTACAAAGCCAGACATGGGCACATACCCTTACAAAGAAAATTATCTGATTATCTTTCTTATTAACATAGGCTAAAAATTTCTTAATAAAATACTCTCAAACCAAAGTATCATAGTTAGGCTTTCTACTGCTGTGAAGAGATACCATGATCATGGCAACTCTTATAAAGGAAAACATTTAATTGGGGTGGCTTACAGTTTCAGAGGGTTAGTCCATTATCATCATGCTGCATCCTACAGCATGCAGGCAGACATGGTGCTGTAGAAGATGAGAATTCCACATTTTGATCCACAGGCAACAGGAAGTGAACTGTGACACTGGGAATAGGTTGAGCATAGGAGACCTCAAAGCTCACCCCCACAGTGACCCACTTCCTCCAATAAGGCCATACCTCCTAATAATGTCACTCCCTTTGGGGGTGGTCATTTTCTTTCAAACTACCACACCAAGTTAACTACACATACAAAGTTAACTCAGAATGACTAGATGGGCTTTATTCTAGGAATGAAAGTGTGATCCAACATAGGAAAAACAATAAAAATCATATGATCATCTCAATGGAAGTAGGAAAGGCCTCTAACAAAGTCCAATACTTCATGATAAAAACCATGAGAATCTGAGAAAAGAAGGATTTTTTGTCAACAAAAAGGTAACCAATATAACCATCTTGTCACTCCTGTCTTAGTACAAGGGTTAATCATACACTGGATTTTGTAATAATTTGTTTTCTAGATGTTAGCTGCTCCTCACCTCTTCTCTGTCTCTGCCTTGCTCTCACTACATCTTTTTTTCATGAGTACTTATTATGTATAAGAAAAGTTCTAAGCATTTGAGATATTGAACAAAAATAAAACATCATTTGTTTTATGCACACTAAAATTTAGATTCCATTTTAATAAAACAACCAGCCCAAAAGGATGTTATAGATCATAAGTGTCTCATGAAAACCTGCATGTTCAAGACTTGCTCATAGATGACTGTGTACTTGGAAGGTGGCAGAACTTTTTAGAGGTGGGGCCTAGGTAGAGGAAGTAGGTAATTTGGAAATGTGCCCTTGAAAAGACTATTAAGACTGGGGGTTTGAATGAGAATGTCCTCCAAAAGCTCCTCTGTTTAAATATGTGATTGCCAGTGAATAGAACTGTTTGGGAAGGATTAGGAGGTATGGCCTTGTTGGAGGAGGTGTGTCACTGGTGGTGGGATTTGAGGTTTCAAAAAGACCTTTATTCCCAGTGTCTCTCTCACTCTTACTTACAGATCATGGTGTAAAATTTCTGCTGTTACTACCACCATGCCTTTGTTTCTCCATTATGGACTCTAATTAACCCCCTGAAACTGTAAGCCCAAATTCAACTCTTTCTTTTATAGGTGTCCTTAGCCATAATGTCTTATCTCAGCAATAGAGAAATAACTAAGACAGGACCCAGCTCCTTGCCCTCATTTTCCTTGTTTCCTGGCCACGGCCAAGTGAGCAGCTTTCCTGTACTCCTGCCATAATGAACAGCTTTGCCACAGACTTGGAACAACCCATCCAAATGACCATAGCGAAAACCTATCAAGTCATAAGCCAATAGCAATTTTTCATCTTTCAAGTTGTGTTGGTTAAGTATTTTGTCACAGCCATGGGAAGTTAACTGGTAGAGGCTATCCATCCTCCTGATCAACTAAACTAATGGCATCATAAAAAAAGAGGTCATTAAGAGCAGAGAACATCTAAACATAGTAAAACTATTGTTTGTCAGAAAAAGCATGGATTCAACTGACTATATGGAATTGATCTCTGTGTCTGATTTGGGTCTTAGCAGATCTCAAGTTCTTTAAGTTAGTTTTCCTTTTTCAGCCATTCAGAACAGATCTCTGGCTCTCTGCCCTTAACTGAATTAAGGGCATTAATTCTGAGCCTTCTACTTCTGTCTTTATATCTCTGTAGAAATGAGAAGAGCAAGCTCACCATCAAATCCTTTCATTTCACATTCTAACCCTGATAGTCCATCACCACAATTGCTCAGCCTGCCTGCAGGTGTTCTGCCTCTGACAGTCTCCTTTCTGCATGACTATTTCTGAAAGCCAAGACTTCAAGACCTCAAGCCAGCATCCAAAGCCATTGGGCAAGGCTGTCAGGAATATGGGAGACTCACCAGATAGAGCTTCAGACGGATATCCATCTGCTGTGTCCATTACAGAAGATTTTGTTCTATAAAAGTAAGCATTGTAGGACATGTTTAGGACTCCAGTTTTAATAAGAGTATAGATAACATAATACTCAGTCTACTATTTCCTCTAAATAAAACAAAACAGATGAAAAATGCAAATAAATAAATAAATATTCCAACAGACTGCATTTCCTATAAAACTGAAAAAAACTGGGACTCCAAAAACTTAGAAGATCTAGCAAAATAAATTCTGAGCACTCAAATGGCATCTTGGAAACTGATGTGCTGTCTCTTTGATAGAGGCCAACAGGAGGCCTCTGGGATAGGGTTGGAGGCAAATTTCCTTCTGACTCAGATATGGCCCTTGAGCTGGTTAGTTTTTTCAACTTGCCACAAATGCAGATATATCTGGGAAGAGGGAAATTATGTTCAAAAAATGTCTCTATTATATTGGCCTATGGGAATGTCTGTAGGGCATGTTCTCCATTAATGATTGATATGGAAAGGCACAGGCCACCATGGGTGGTGTCAGCCTAGGGAAGATGATCCTGAGTTGTATTTAAAAAGCAAGCTGAGAAAATCATGGGGATAAAGCCAGTGAACAGTGCTCCTTCAGCCTCTGCCTTCAGGTTCCTACCTTGAGTTTCTGCTCTGACTTCCCCTCATAGTGGGCTATTAAACTGTAAACTAAACTCTTTCCTCCCCAAGTTGCTATTTGTCACAGTGTATTTTCACAGCAATAGAAACTCTGAACTTGGAGACCAGAGAGAGATAGTTACCCAGAAGGATCCCACAAAAAAAGAAGAAAGAAAGAGGGAGAGGGAGAGGGAGAGGGAGAGGGAGAGGGAGAGAGAGAGAGAGAGAGAGAGAGAGAGAGAGAGAGAGAGAGAGAAGGAAGGAAGGAAGGAAGGAAGGAAGGAAGGAAGGAAGGAAGGAAAGAAAGAAAGAAAGAAAGAAAGAAAGAAAGAAAGAAAGAAAGAAAGAAAGAAAGAAAGAAAGAAAGAAAGAAAGAAAGAAAGAAAAAGTAAGCAAGCGAGCTTGTCCTAAGAACATAGTGATGTCCACTAGGGGCAATTTCACCCTCTGGGGATATTTGACAATGGAAAGGAGAGCCCTTGAGCCTGGAGCTCCGGATTACTGCCTGCCTCCCTTTCCCCTCCGCCAGAAATTGCTGCTAACAAGAATACTGAAATGGGACTGGAAGCACAGATTTTTTTCCGAAAATACCTTGAAGGAAAATATTAAAAATTCATCACCAATTTTCTCATAGATGATGAAAAAACATTAAAAACACTTCCATGAAGGTTATGAAATTTTAATCCATCTGTCCTATCTGCTGAAAAAGCATTAATCCTTGATGATTTCTCAGAAAAATGCTATCAAGCCTTTATGGGAAAGGTGATTTCAGTTTGTTTTGAATGTTTCAGAACAGAAAAAAAGCTGCTTGATTATTATTCTGTTCTTAATAGTCTCTTTAATAGCACAGAACAAGGGTTTCATCATGACTTTTTCATATGCACAGAAAATGTAGTGTGATTGTATTCACTGCCCCTGTCCTCTCTCACATCCATCCTCCCTTCCCCCAGCACCTCCCCTTCCCTGATAGTCTCTGCTCTGGTCGACTTTTCTCACATAGGAAGATAACTGGGCAAGAATCATGGATGTGCAGGATGTGTCTGTATTGTCTGACTTTGATTAATATGGCAAATCTATTTTTAGTTTTATAAGGAATCTCCATGATGATTTCCACAGTGGTTGAACTATATTACATTCCAACCAAGGTGGTCATAGGTTCCTTCTTCTATGTATCCTCAGCAGCATGTGTGCATTCTTGTTTCTCCGAAGAGAACCACTCTGGCTTGGGTGAGATGGGATCTCAGTGGAGGTGTTTTGTTTCTTTCATCACTTGTTTGCTCTGGTCCTGTGGATCAAATCTATGGCACTGCATGAACCAGGCCAAGACAAAGAGCTTCATTTGCGGTGCTGTGGAGCCCACACTGGCCTTGAACTCCCTCTTCCTTTGTCTCCTGAGAATTATAGGCCCCATGATCACATTTCTGTAGTCTTACTACAATTTAGATTTGCATGTCCTTAATGACTAAAGACGTTGAGAGCATTTTTTCATATATTTTTGCCTTTCATATTTCTTTAGAAAAGGGTCTGTTTATTGTTTAGATTAGTTGTTCCTTTGTTGTTAACTTTTGAGATCTTTATATAGCCTAGATACAAATGCCTTGTCAGATAAACAACTGGTAAACACTCCTCTCCCGCCCCATGGGTTGCTATCTCTTCAATCTCTTGTTTCTTTTAATGTGCACATTTTTATGTGTTTTAAAGACATAAGTATACTAATACTCCCTGAAACCTCACAAAAGTACAGAAAAAAGAAATTGTATTTTATGCCTACTGCTATCACTGGAAAAAAAACTTAAAATATTCATTAGCAGTCAGAATCCACGGATCCAGGAGAAGAATAATTTGCAGCCATTGTATTCTAAACCATTTCACTCAAGACTATAAAAAACGTTTGGCAATGAAATACATTAATAAAGTGTATCATGCAACTTGCAAGAAATCACTTCTGTATTTAAAGACAATTATTTAATGTTAGGTTTTGAGTTTTAAAAGAGAGCTTCAATAATATAATAATTTTAAATAAAAATTGATGGGCCCTTCCTTACTACGTTTTGCATGTATCATGATAAGGTATTTGTACAAAGAGTAAATTTGTTAAATTTAGTGGAAAGGATGTTTTGTAACATCAGCACTGCTTACTGTTATACTGATGCTATTAGCCAATGTAGATAAACTAGAGAAACCAATTAGCAATACAAAACAGGAGGAGCTGACCTGTTCCTTCTTGTAGACCATCAGATATAAACCAAAAAGTCCCTGAGCTTTCAACTTAAAATAAAACTATTTTATTGGTCTTGGAACAAAAAACAAGGCATCCCAAAATATGCTAACTTGGTACACAAAATGTTTTAAGGGGAGAGACTCTGAGAAATGGTAGGTTTAGAGAGAGCTTTGCACCTTCCCTGGAGGAATCATAAGAATTTCACAAAAGGGGTTGGAGAGATGGCTCAGTGGTTGAGAACACTTGTTGCTTTTGCAAGGGATCTGAGTTTGGTTTCCAGCACCCACATGCTGTCTCAGAATCATCTGTAATTCGAGTTACAGGGGGATCCAACAGTGTCTTCTGGCCTCTGTTGGCATAAAACATACATTGTTCACATATATACATGCAGGAAAAATACTCATATACTATATATATATATATATATATATATATATATATATATATATATATATATATATATATATATATAATTCTTTTCATGGATCCATGGATTATGACTGCTAAGGAATATTTTAAGACTTTTTTCTTGAGGTGAGGCAGAGAGAATTTGAGAGAAAATATTTCGTGTGACAGTTAACATCTCTATCCCTAGAGTGAAAGAGCATCATTATCTCCAAAGATGGGGGCCCTCTGAGGAGTTTTCTAAGTTCCCATAGCTCTTGTTTCCTACAAGTTTCCAACCTTCACTAAATCTAGTATACAAAATATTTAGTCATTTCCTTAGGAATGGGCTAATGTCATAGAAAACTGAATAAACTTACACTCTTCTCTTGTTAACCTGTTTACAGAACTTGACGAGCTTATGGGGTGAAAAGAACTGTTTTTCTCCTTCTGCATCAGAATGTTAAGATATATCTCTAAATATATAACTGATACCTGTAATATCTGCAACAAGGTACTACCCAGAAGCAAGGGGAGTAAAAGGCTACATGAGTATTTTAGGAGGAAAACTTCAGATGACTCCTGAAGAAGATCAGATAACTCCAAATAAATTTTAAAAAGTCATGTTCCTTGTAGGAAAAATTTCAACATCTGATATTATTCCATGCTTAACTTATAAATTTATGTAATACAAAATAAAATTACTTTAAAAAATTTCAGAGGTATATACTTATTATTTTGAGACTTATTCTATTTTAATCCTGAGGTCATTATTCAGGAATAAACAAAGTAAAAGTGACTAGGAAAATTGAAAAACATGAATAACCCCATTAGTTATTATAACAAGGTGTAAAGCTACAGAATGTACCAAGCATGTATAAGTCTCTGAGTTACACCTCCAGCACTAAAGTCAACAATGATGAAACAAAATACAGTACTTTCATAAATAAAACAGCCTAATACTAAGAAAGAAACAGATGGATTGATTACTGAAAAAAATGCCAAACAAAAAATTATAAATAGACTCAAATGAATACAGGTGGCTAGGATATCAAAGGTATTACCTTTTATCAAGGCAATGATGGTCATGGCATTGGTACAGTTGCAGAAATGAAGTTTGGGTCTGATTCTATACAATTAATTCTAAATGAATTTTACATATAAATATGAAATTTCAGAATTTCCTATATATTTATTGATGAATTTCCAATTTTACTAAGATATTTCCTTGACTCAAAATCCAAAATCTGTAGTTAAAGAAAACATATAAAAATGAAGATCAGGACCATCCTACACCTGTCAGGAATGGCTAAGATCAAAAACACTGAAGACAGCTTATGTTGGAGAGGATGTGGAGCAAGGGGAACACTCCTCCACTGTTGGTGGGAATACAAACTTGTACAGCCACTCTGGAAATCAGTATGGTGGTTTCTCAGAAAATTGGGAATTGATCTACCTCAAGACCCAGCCATACCACTCTTGGGCATATACCCAAGGAATGTTCAATCTTAACACAAGGACACATGCTCAACTATGTTCATATCAGCATTATCTGTAATAGCCAGAACCTGGAAACAACCTAGATGCCTCTCAACTGAAGAATGGATAAAGAAAATGTGTCACATATACACAATGGAATACTACTCAGCAGTAAAAAACAATGGTATCATGAAATTTGCAGGCAAATGGATGGAACTAGAAAATATCATCCTTAGTGAGGTAACCCAAACTC